GGTGCGGGAGCGGGAGCGGTGGAAGCGGTGCGGGAGCGGGAGCGGTGCGGGAGCGGTGCGGGCGGAGCGGCGGGCGGGCAGTGCCGCCTGCTGGGCACCGCCGGGCAGGGCCGGGGCCGATCCCGGAGCGCGGGGGATGCGGTTCGGCCCCCGGGGAGCACCGCAAGGTCTGCCCCTGATGGCTCTGGAGCCACGGAAAGCGGACCGGCAGCGGGGATGGAGCGGGGGAGTCCCGCGGGGCGGCTACTGCCAGGATAGCTCCGAGCAGCTAAACTTCCCGGGCTGAAAAATAACTGAGACGGTGCTGCGGAAGGGTGTGGAGCACAGATCTGCTGAGGGAGCTAGAGGTGCTCATCCTGGAGAAAAAGGAGGCTCAGCGGGGGACCTTATCGCTCTCTACGACCACCTGGAAGGAGGTTGTAGCCAGGTGGTGTTTGGTCTTTTCACCCTGGTAACAAGTGATAGGACAACAGGAAATGGCCTCAAGTTGCACAAGGGGAGGTTTAGATCGGATATCAGGAAAAATTTCTTCACCAGAAGGGTTATCAAGCACTGAAAAGGCTGCCCAGGGCAGTGGTGGCGTCACCAGAGTTGCAGGGCTGATTTTTTCCAGCTCAAAGCTTTCATCAGATCACGGCCATGGGAAGGGGATCAGGGTCACCATTGATGCCTTCCCCCCCTGGGTCCCGGGCAGACAGCACTGAGCCTGTCCCTCCTCAGACCGACTTGCAGAGGGCAGCAATACCCAGAGCAGCACTGAGCACGATGGTGAACTGGATAAAACTGTCTTTTAAAAATACCACAGCCAAAAAAAAAAAAAAAAAAAAGTCGAAGTGTAATCCCGTGAAGAGTCCCCTCAGACTGTAAGAAGGTAGCCTGGGATGGGGAGAACTGAAGAGGGAGGGAACTTTTATAGCGTATAAAATAATCACCTCCCTATGACAACCCCTTGATAAGCAAAGGTGCAGAAGTCTTGCCAAAAATAATGAAGTCCTCAATTTCTTTTTTTTCCCACAGAATTTTTTTCCCCTCCCTTTGCACAAGACCACCACAGAATCCACTTTAATTTATAGGACTTTAATTTTTATTTATATTGCTTCTTGCCTTCTTCCAGCAGGCATTTTCACCCGTATCTTCTGCAGGGTGTGTTTGAGGGGCTGGCAGGGACACATATTTCATAGTTAGGGCAGCCCTATAACTATAAAAACAAAAAATAGTTTTGTCGGGTCTGAGTAAAGTGCTCCTCTGAGCAAGTTGTTGAAGTAAATTAAACTTTATACGCTGCACTTGATCTAGTGCTGGAATTTCTCTGCTCCAACCCAGGCCCTGGCTTGCTGTTACCTCCTCACCATGTTGCAGAAAGGTGAATAATTGCTGAGGTCCATTAATTGTCATAATTATGCTTGTCAGTCTTTTGTTCAAGTCGTTCTTGACAGGTAAATGTATGTATTGATCTGGTGATATGCAGGCAGCCTCAGACTTGAACTATTCTGCTGTAAGGAAGAAATCTGAGCCCTGCAAGGAGCCCTGGAGCTTCGCAGAGGTTTCCATGTGGAGGTTCAGCTCCGCCTGAGGTAACGTGTTTGCAGGAACACACAGGGCAGCGTTCAGCCCAACAGGCAGATCCTGCCTTCCCTGCAGCCCAGCAGCCTTTAATAACCCACTGGAGTTTGGCTGATGACTCCAAGGGGCATCTGTGTGCCAGACCCAGCAATCTATGCTTTTTGCAGAGTTAATCCATTTTGTTGCCACAGTCCCACTCAGTACGAGAAGGAGGTTTTACACAATAATCTTCAGAAATCCACTGAAATTACCCTCAGAGCAAAACAGCAGAAGGGAAGCTGTCCCATGAGCAGATCAGCCCTTCTGGCAGCTCACGTTTGTTTTGTTCAGACGAATTACAGCTCTGATGTCACCAGTGATGTGGTGTAGGTAGGACATCTGGGCAGGCAAACTGGTTTCCCAGAGGAATGGGTTCAGAGCCCAGCTTGGCTTCACTCAGGTCAGGGGATGGATTTGAAATTGCACAGAAGTCTGGGAGAGCGATGGTGTAACCATTTCTGTTTGCTTTTAGTCCATCCAAAATAGCAACGAGTGGTTCCCTTATTGCCTGTCAGACCAAACAATTCTGGTAACAGACCATTGCAATTCTTTTGCTTCCTGATCCTTAAGCATCTGCACATGCTTAATCATCCTCACAGCACAGATCCCTGCTCTTAGCTCACAGAACCCCCTGATCCTCCCTGTGCATCAGCCTCCCACTAAACTGACATTTTCAGCTACTCTCTAGACTTGATTTGTAAAATTTTGTAAGAAATAAATTCATGCAAGACAAGCTGTGAGTATAAATCTCCATCTCAGGCAAAAAAAAGAAACCTGCCAACACACAAAGGTTCCTCTGTTGCATATGTAAGGAGACAGTGCTGGGCAGGAAAGTAGGAAGTGCAACAAGCTCAAAGCAAAAAGGAACTGTGCTGGGAACGTGGCTGGCTGCAATGCAGGAGCCAAAAACCACCAAAAACAAAGATATGCATGTCAGATCCTTCCCCCTCACAACCTTCTGTGGTGGTACTGCTTTCATGGCAATAGATAACTTGAAGGTGGTTTACTCCTTGCCCTTTTCGTGAGCCTGAGCACCACCTTCTCTGCAGTGAAATGCTTTTAGCTGGGGTCTGGTCAGCATGCAGTGCCCATTTATAGTGCTGGCTTTGGAAACACAGCTTCACTCTTCAGTTCACCGCAGGAAAACTCATTCCAAGCATTACTGAAGCCTTGCTTAAATCCTGTTTCGGGAATTTAAGTGGGATGGGCATTTTTGTGTAGGTCCTTGCCAGGGTCAGATGTGCCCTGAATGTGTGAAAAAGGCAGCACAGACCCTGGCAGCCTCCTGTGGTGCACAGGAAGAAGGGGACTGGGACAGGGACAGCTCAGGTGTTCAGAATGGAGACAAGGACAAGCCTTTAACTTTTGAAAAGAGGCTGTGAAGTCATGGATAGGGTTAGCAAGTCCAGAAACCAGTGGTGGTTCTTGAAGAGAGAGATTTGGAGAGTTCCTTTGCTCCTTTATCTCTAGCAGGCTTTACTGTAGGAGTTTTTAAGCCAAAGTTCACGTTCCTCTTGCATCCCTTGGGTATCACAGCTTTCTGCTCTGCCTTGAACATTGTCACCAAGGCTTCAAGAGTTCCCCAGCTCCAGCAGGGCTGTGCTGCACACCCTACTCATACCAAACCTGCTTTTGGATGTGCTGAGCTCCAGGGGGACCACTCCAGAAAGCACATTTTGCAAGATTCTCTCACAAAAATTATTGATTTATTAATAACAGCCCATAGTACAGCACCACGTGCTTCAGGGGAGAGGGTGTGATTCATTTATTCACAAATCCTCATGTAAACACCCCATAACAATTTCGTGACTCGAGAACAGGGCCCTCCTGAGTGCAGAGAGAGATGACTCAATCAATCAGCTCCTTATCTTTTAAATACTTTGTGTCACGAAGGAGAGCCTGAGTCATTTTCCGAGGCACACGGTTATCAGCACAGAGGTCTGCTGGCAGTGTTTGCCTCCTGGGGATCAGCAGCTGATTTTGCTGTAACTGTGACTCTGCAGCGAGAGCAGAGGGTTGTGTCACCGCTGCGGGTGAGCACATGGCAGTCCAGGGGACACGGCCAAGGGAAACCAGGACTCACAACTGGAACCCTCTGGAGGCAGCTTAAAACCACAGCAGGTCACACAGAGAACGCACTGGTGGGACTGACAGCTTGAGTCAAACTTGGCTTGACAGGGTTTGGGATGCAGGAGGAAAGCGATGAAGACGGATGTGCCAGCAGGGAGCAGGAGTGATCCAACATGTGAGTGCAGTTCGGAAGGGTTTCATCATTTCTTACATACGTAACAAACATAGGGAATGTGTTTTCTGAGACATAGTGAAGAGGAGGAGGAAGATGAGCTCAGGAGAACGCACAGTCCCAAAAATGCAGTGATTGGTCTTTGGATAGATGTGGTGAGTGTGAAGCTGAGCTCCAAAGAGTACTGGTTCACTTGGGTGTGTTGATTTCAGGAGAGAATTTAAAAGGATCAAGCTGTGATAGAAATTTGGGTCAAATTTCCAAGGTCCTTGGATTAGAGCCTGTTCAGGAGAGAGGGGACAGTAAGCTCTGGGTGCATAT